ACAAAATGGCTATCTGTAAAAACCTGCATCAACATTCCCTTACTACATCATTAACATAGAACAACTAATTTCATTACATGGTATCTGTGCATTCTCAAGTTAACAGTGCATGTCAGAGAACTTCATTCCCTAAAACAAAATGGCCACCAGTCTGCCATTTTGAATCAAATCATGAAACACAATGACATGCATCAGTAACCAATTATGACTAATGTCAATGCCAAGTTTGAATGAAATCGATCAAGGTATGTCCAAGAAATTGTTGATGACATGTCAAAATGTTGATTTTTGCTGTTTTTTGGGACAAAAATGGCCGCCAGTCGGTCAAAGGTAAACTAAATTAAAAATAAATCGATGTGCACGTCTCCCATTATGACACGTCTTTGTACCAGCTTTGAAGAAAATCTGTCCAGGCGTCTCTGAGAAGTGATGATGGACGCATGGAACCCAAAACATAAGTCACTGTTTCGGATCATGTCTCACGGGGACTAAAAATGACATGCATTTTGGTCCCATAAAGTTCAAATAATTAGTTATTTTTCTTACCTCCACAAATTCTGGCTGAATTGTAGTTGAGTGTATGCCTTCGTGGTGTAAGAAGTCTTTTACTTGACTTGCAATATCCATATAGTCATCCAAACTCCTGCACTGTATGTGAGCAGATGCAATGATTTTATCACCAGCCAGTCTCCAGATATGAAACTCATGTACAGCCATTACACCACTTACCTATGTCAAGACAGAAATTATTTTTGGTGGATATTATAAGACTGCAAAGTGTAGTTACCATTTCTGTAATGAGGTTAAGCTCGTGTAAGAGATTACACCCAGAAATACAAGTAAAGGGCATGTGCACATGGCAATGCTCTCATGTGCACATGGTAATGCTCTCATGTGCACATGGCAATGCTCTCATGTGCACATGGTAATGCTCTCATGTGCACATGGCAATGCTCTCATGTGCACATGGCAATGCTCTCATGTGCACATGGCAATGTTCTCACTTACATGCACAAATTTCTTGTTGTGAAAACTACACAAGTATTTTGACATCAGTATCAAAATGTTTGGTTTTTTATGTATTTTTTGTTAAGCATAATCTCTCAATGATTCACAATTGATGATTAAACTTTGCTCTGTACCAAAAAAACACAGGTAACCTTGGCATTCTATGCATATTGTACATATGTAAGTTATAAAGTGAAAACTTTATAAACCATCGCTTTTATGTTACCACTTGCCTTTTCCAGTAGTTTAGACTGGATCTCATCCACTTTGAGATGGGTTGGTGGTGTCTGGAGTAATATCAAAGTAGACTCCTTCACTGGGAAAATCGGAAAATCAAAGTTGTTAAAATCGTAAGGATGAAATGTACCTAATACCTAAAACACTAAGGGAACTGATTTTACTTGTTTTGATAATAATTCACTTTTGTTGAGGCGTTTTCAAAAACTAAACTCTCTTGGTTCAGATACACATCTGTATACATTGTGCAATTAGAGCAGGCTTTATTTGAAAGCTGCTTGTAACATAAATTTGGATTGGTTGGTGCAATTTGGATTTGAAATTGGAATTGAAAGCCTTGAAGTAAATGTGTTCCCCTACCACCGCACAAACTTTATGACGTCTTTCTCAATGCATAATTA